TTTTATTGCTCTTCTGGAGACTAAAATCGAGGCTTTGTCTCGTAAAGACGTTGACAAGCTTGCTGGGTGTGCGTGGGAATTTCATTTCCAGCCGTCGGTCGGTAAAGCTGGAGGAATCCTACTGCTTTGGAAGCGGGCTTTGGTTTCCTTCGCCCCCCTCCTCTCTTCCCAGCAGTGTGTGGCTGGCCGTGTACAATTTGCTGATCAACCTTGCTGGAATATTGCAGTGATTTATGCGGACAAGGACCTGCATGTCCGTCGTTCTCTTTGGGCCAGCATCAATTCCTGCCGGGATGCTGAAATCCCGCTCTTGGCCATTGGGGATTTCAACTGCATCCTTTCCCAAGATGATAAAAAAGGTGGGCGCCCGTTTAGAACGTCTGCTGCTTCACTGGATATGGAGGAGTTTATTCGCACCAATGACCTGGTTGACCCTGGCTTTTTGGGGCCTAAATTCACTTGGAGTAACAATAAGGACGGGTTGAGTAAAATTTGGGCTCGCCTCGACCGATGTTTTATCTCGACTTCTCTTCTGGAGGTGCATCAGGAGTTCGAAGTCCGTCATCTGTTACGGTTAGCCTCTGATCACTGTCCTCTTCTTTGTTCCCTTTCCACACCCTCTCGTTTTCAACGCTCTGCTTGGATTCGGTTTGAGGATATGTGGCTCTCCTATCCTGCTGCGGGCCGCATTGTGTCCAAATGTTGGCACTGGGCTCCCCCTGGTGGCCCGGCTGATGTTTTGCAGGCCAAATGCCGTCGAACTCTTCGACATCTTTTTTTTTGGAGCCGCAATAAAATTCAAGGGCTCCATCAACTTCAACGTTCTCTCGAGCTGGACATTGCGGCTCTTCAAGTAGCCGATTGTTCGCCGGAAGGTCTCTCCCCTGTCCAAGAGGTGGAACTTCTTCGTAAGGTTCGTGAACTTAATAGCACTCTTGCACGGATAACCACGTGGTGGCAACAGCGTGCCAAGGTTCGATGGCTGGAAGAGGGGGATGCCAACACCCATTACTTTCACTCTGTGGCTTCTTCTCGCCGTCGAGGTAATCGTATTCGGGAAATGACTGATGAAGGGGGAACTGTTTCTGGGGACAGTTCGGATATCTTGGCCACCCTCACTCGCTTC